TGTACTTGGTGTAATATTATGCTTGATTTTCAGGACTTTTTATACACACACGAGTCAGTAAGCTAGTCAAAGCAACAGCAGTCAGACCTTGACGCCACCTTATTTTTACTCACAGAAATTGGTTATGAAGGAGAAGATAGCCATCTCTACAAAACCTGAATCTTCCTGCCGCTGGTGCTGTCCCCAGACAGCGACCCACAGCTGGAGACCACCACGGAGGGGCGTGTGCCTGTCTTCAGCCATGAAGTGGTATGTAACGTGACACGGATGGTCATTACTGCTAATAAATTCTATCTAAGTACATTGTAGTTTGTTGTTACGGGTTGTGATTATGTCTTGTCTTCATTAAAAGACTTCATTTTATCACCCCAACATCCTGAACAAGCTCAACCAGTCAGGGTTTGGGGTCTTAAAATGTTTTTCTCTGATTGTATATCAGCACTTGACGCTGCTTTCTGCTACTTTTCTCAACCATCATCCATTGGTTGATTCATTTATTCATTCAATCAAATCTTTGCCTTTGTGCTTTTTAGTTTAAGTGTCAGTGAAGTTTGTTTTACCCCCCCCCCCAGGTGCCAGATTACCTGCGTACTAAGTTTGAACCTGAGGTTGAGACCAGGGAGAAGACTCTGACCACCCAGTCTGAGCGCCTGACTCCAGAGGCGGCTCAGAAACAGATCCAACAGCTCAACAACCTGTGTGACAAACTTCTGTACAAGTTGAATGCAGCCAGCGAAGACTGGGACTCAGAAGTGTCAGCTTCGCAAGGGAGCACCCCTGCGTCGTCCCTGGCAGACACCAGCGCTCTTATTGCAGCAGTGAGCTTCGGAAAGGGGTTGAAACCCAGCAGGACCCCCAGTCAGAGTGGTCCTGACACCCCACAGTCCCAGCCCTCCCCACAGGCCTCCCAGGCTGGCCCTGCCCCGGGGAAGGCTCCCAGCACCCATCAAAACTAACATCAGGACAGGGGCCAGCTCACATCCATACCAGAGATGAGACATGGACTAATTTGTGTCTGATGTTGTTGGTACAAACAAGCTTTTAGTATGTTTTGTATGCATCATTGGTTCATTATTGATATAATGATATTTAATCTTTATGTACTGGTGTGTTATGCCGGCTATACCGATACAGATACAGATGTAGAAACAGTTCCCAAAATTGACAGCAGCCACAAAAACCTGGCTGGTACCATCTGTCAGTGTGTCACTCTCCTTTCTCAGTCCAACATTATCTCCATGACACATTTCTCTACCATCCCCCTCTTCCCCCGGTTATACAGTGTGACTTCTTATAAAATCGAAGTCACATTATTTATCAGCTAATGTACACATCTCCTGTTTATGTTTCATGCGAAGTCGGTCACATCACTACCCTCATTCTCCCTTTCTTCCACACTACACACACGTGTATGTGAAGGACTCAACAGACACAGGATTGCATTTATTAATCAACAGCAGATCAACATTGATATGTGTTCCACGCCTTTAAAACAAAGGTGCCTGTTTACCAGCCAACACAGCTTTCATTAAAAGTCTCAATATTGTTATTGTTTTTATAGCTACCTTGAATAGTTGCATAGCAATGTCACAGCTTTTGTGCTCAAATACATGTAGTGGTTCAGTTTCGTTAACCTGAACTCGTGTCCCCTACAGTTGTTGAAATACAATTTGTCAGTTGCAGCTTGCTTTGGCTGATGGCTTGTCTCTTTGGCACCAAGATTAAAGTGATTCCGAGATGCAGCAAACGTGATGATATTTCGACCAGTTCAAACTGGTTTAAGGTATGCCACTACCTAATGAGGCCTAGAGCTCTTCATGGATAGAGTTTCGTTCGCTATTCTTGGATAAAAGACATCTATATGATGTAAAGAGATTGGGCTCGAGATCTGTCCAAGTGTAAAGAGTTTCGTTCATCCCACGGATCGGTACCATTCACAGTCGAGTCCTTTGAACGTCAGATCCCACTTTCAGCTTTCATTATTTTCATAACTTCCAAATGTCACGCCGTCTGTTTTAGACACCATTGGCTGTGCAGCCAAGTGGTGAGGTGTGCGAAAATTGACGTCATTCAGATATCGCAATCGTAACTGATGTCATCGACTTATGTGCCTCCCTCTCCTCCGTTTTTACTCCCACCCATTTGAACGAGCTACTTTCAACATGTACGGATGGGTACTAGGGAATGTCTCGTGATATAGGAGTGGACCAATCTCGTCACTCCCGTTGAAATGAGACACTTCTATCCAAGGCCAGGATTGGTATCCAGCAATGAACGTTCTCGCCACTGCACTACGACTCTTGTACACCAGCAGCCACGGTTCACCACATCTTGAACTTCTCCACCACCGTGACTCCGTTCTTCTTCATCTCTTTCACTGCCGCCTCCACAGGCGATTGCAGGCCCACCGAAGGATCCACGCATGCGTCGCACAGCGGACCCTCATAATCCATCTCGTAACTCTCCAGACAGTCCGGGCAGCGCTTCTTGTGGTTGGTCGCACGCGCCCCGCACATGCTCAGATCCACAACAACTTGTAGTCCCTTGGCCCGGAAAGCGCGGGCGATAGCCACAGACGATGTTTTCACGCAGGACGTAGTCGTGTTCCCGCCCATAACTATGATCCGACTGCCATTTCTGATCCGCTCTTCCATCCACTTGACGAACCCCACCGCGTGGAGGACGGAGTTGCCTGGCTTTGATAAGCACTCGATTCCACGCTCCTGTGTAATGCTGAAAGGGATTCAAAAAGCAATCGTTAGTACTATAGGTACCATAGGTCACCAAGAGTGAGATCATTACTCCGTCTTCGATCTGCTAATGTCAAACACCGTGCGCAAAAGGTCTTACACAAAATTACCCACATTCACAAAGGAAATTAAAACGAAACAATCCATTTTCATTTTTAAGCTTTTGCACAAGTTAGCAGAGAGGTATAGAAAAAGAGAACAAAATCGGTACGATCATGGTTCACCTTTTAATTCTGTCGTCCAGCTCTCCGTCGGGTCCGGGGAAGGGCGTGCGTGTGACCAGGGTGGGAATGTGCTGGGTGACGCGCAGGACGTCCACACACCTGTCATACGCCTCCCGGATCTGCTGCACCTCGTCCAGCCCGAACCGGTCCGCCCACGTCCCCTCCGAGAAACACTTCTGCACGTCGATCAGCATCAGGGACTTGGAAGTCATCTTGAACTTT